ATCAGTTCAGAAGATTTTCCCATTCTGTCTAATACTTCATCTAAATTAAGAGGAATGTTCTTTTCACAGGATAAAAGTATGAAAGATTTCAATCTTTTTTTTTTGCTTATAGTTGTCCATAGTCTATTTTTAATTATCTTAACCTGAGTAAATAAATAAAAAAATAAATATTGTTTAAAAATATTAATTCTATGTCTTAAATATATAATTAGTAGGTAAGTATAATATATAATATAATATAYACATAATAAATCTATTATAAAAAATATTTGATGATGGTTGTGAGGATATAGGGTTTTTGAGGCCCTGCAAACCACTCACAATTAGAGGGGAACACTCTAACYGTGACCAACGCACCGCACCACTTGTTGACCCTAAGACAAACTCGATGGAACTCGTAAGTTTTATACACGCAGTGGAAAATGAATTCCAAAGATTTATTTTGAGGGAAAGAGAGACATAGTACCGGTTAAATCCATAAATTAAATAAGAAGAAAGAGTTTAGGGTAATCATTTGATTATATTTTACATATCACTATCATGAACATATGATGTGAGAATAATTTTTTGGTAAGGACAAATTAAATAATAATATTTKACATATGACAATTACAAAAGAAATAATATTTGACACATGGTAATTATCACAAATGAAATAATATTTGACACGTGGCAATTACAAATGAAATAATAATATTTGACACAGGGTAATTACAAATGAAATAATAATGGGAAAGGAGAGAGTTGAATAAAAACTATAATAACGTGGATAAAGAGGCCTGTCGCAAGAAACATATTTTAAGTAATTTACTGTCACAGCGAGAGTAAATGGCATGACTACAGTGAATCATGGTTGTCACAGGGTTACAGGGGAAGTCGTGTTATCTACACATTCGGTTTTTTTGTTTATCRAGTGTTGATGAATCATGAACGAGCTAGCGACAGCCTTAACTGTGAAAAAAAAAAGAATATATTCATTCTAGGTATGGATCGCGTCTTGTGACGCCTATTGCTCGACTTATCGCGGGGGAGAGACATATTTACRACTGTTGACGGCGAGATCCCTGTCTGGATGTTGTATTAATTGGTAGTTTCTTCGCCAAACATTGGGCCCCTGGTTGACGCCTAGCCCATAGTCATTGAATATGGACGGCGTTGATGAAAACAAAAAAAACCCAATATGGAATCGGCTCAGCCGGGTATGGTCTGGCTGACACCGTGGTTTCGTCAACTTGAGACGGAAACTCACAGTGATGTAGGATCACCAAGACGTGCGTCAAACGAATGTCGATCGTTGACCGACGGTGTCCAGACGTTGGTCGACGATGTCCGATGTCGTTTGGAGTAAGGAAGGTCAGGGTATTTTTTTGTGANAAAAAAAAAATACACTTAGATTAACTAATATTATGATGTCATATTTTATTATTTATTTATTCATCTTTGTAATTTACTGTATATATTGTAATTCATTTACGCTTAACAACTTAATGATGTTAAAAATTCTTTATTATATCAATAAGTTAGATGACCTTGTATGTCAGAAACACTAAAAAAAAAACAAAGAAAAAAAAAACAAGATAATTATGATATAATAATAAATTAGTTTGAATCGAATGTTTCGGTACAAATCCATGTTGAGAAAAGCTTATATTATTGCACATTAAATTAGATAATTTTTTTGAGATAATAGCTTCAAGCATTTTTGGAAAAATTKACATTTTCAAAACTGGCCTATAATTTTTCACATTTTGTTTGTCACCTGTTTTATGTATGGGAGAAATGAAAGATTTTTTCCAACAAAAAGGAAATGTTCCACTRGATAGAGACAAATTAAATAAATAATGTAAAGATTTAATGAGAGCTTGACAACACATTTTTAAAAAAATTGTAGGAATCCCATGAGGCCCAATACTTGMCTTGTCATTAAGTGAACCAATAAAATCTATAATTTCATATTCATAAATAGTAAGTGAATTTAAATTTAAATTATGAAACTGATTAAAAAATAAATCATTATTGTAATCATCTACTATATCAATTGTGTCAGTTGTGTATACTGAAGAAAAATATTTAGCAAATAACCTAATGGTATCATTCATATTATTCGCAGAACTATKGTCCAAAAATACTGAAAGAGGAATATTTAGAACGATTAAATCTCAAAGATTTAATATAATTCCAAAACGACTTCGGGTTGATATTAATATTATTTTCAATTTTTATCAAATGATTTGCATGAATTTGAGAAGAGAATTTTTTAGAATTACTACTTAAATTAGAGAAAAATATATAATCTGAATGTGAATTAGTAAGTTTATATTTTTTATGTGCCTGTTTTTTTAGATTTATTAAATTTCTCAAAATAGGATTGGACCGATAAAAACTACGTGAATCATAATGATTTAATTTAATTTTAGGAACAAACATATCAAACGAATGGGATATAATTTCATTTAGTTTAARAACCACCAAATCGACATTAAGATTTATCAATAAATTAGACATTAGATTAATGCTATAAGAAACAAATTAACATCATTATAATTACATGCATTAAAATTAAAAACAACTGGATATGATGTTTCAGAAAGAAAATCAGGTGTAGAAATGGATAAAACAAAATCCAATGGTGGGTGATAAGAATCAATTAATGGAGTAAGTGAACTACCTAGACGTATGCAATATACGCAATTATTAGTCATAATTAAATCTAAGATATCAAACCGATCATTAAGGATACTACTCACTTGTTTTAAATACAAATAATTAATAAATGAACTAATTATAACATTCGAATTAGAATCATTAATTTGGGTATAATCAGTACAAGAGAAGCCAGAAACATTAAAATCACCAATAATAAGTATATTAACTATTGAATGAACAAGAATAATATTTTCCACTAACTCATAGTGTTTAATATAAATATCTTTATGGGTATTGGGAGGAATATAAACACAGCCTAACAATAATTTTACATTATTTTAATTAACTAATACAATCAATAACAATACGTCTGCATTCCAAGTTATCTCTGATGGCCAACAACACACCACCTCCTCTACAAACATGAGTACCAATTCTATCAGCTCTAAAAATATTGAAATTAACAATACCAAGTTCTACATCATTAATAGTACCATTTAACCAAGTTTCAGATAAAAATAAATCACAGTTTAAATTATTAACAGAATTACGAAAAAATTTAAGTTTCGTCCTGAGACCTCTAACATATTGATACATAACATTTATTTTAAAAAAGAGATTGTTGAGATTGAGAATGATTAGAGATGACTTCCGATTTTTTAACAATATTAGGGACACCATTAACGAACTTGATCGTTAAATCCATTTCACCTTTTGAAGTTCGTTGATTTAATTCTTCGTGGAATTTCTTCATAGTCTCTCTTTGATACAGTGTCCGATCAGTACTTATATTAATCAATGATAGTGATGAATTSCATTGTGATAACTTGCGTATATTTTTAATAATATCAAATACATCAGACATGGAATCAAAGATGACTTTAATTGGACGTGATTTTCTCGCTTGCGGACGACCKATGCGAATAACTTTCTTAGGAATAATAGACGTATCAACCAAAATAGTTTTAATGATGTTATTTATTTGTACAAGGTCAAATGAAATACGATCATCTAATCGGTTAGAATCACATTCTTCAATTTTATAGAATAATAAATTATTAGTGCAGCGATTACGCTCATTAATTTCGTTAAAAATAAATTCATTAGAAAAATGCTCAGATGACGTATTACGGGAATCAGAATTAAAATTCATATTTTTTAAATTTTCTACTTCAACTAGTAATTTTTTTATCAACGCCTTCAATTCTAGTAATTCTTTAAGACCTTGATCACACTTATCACAAAAATATTTAAGAGACCTATTTTTTAAAGAAAGACACTTAACTTCAGTTCCAGAGAGTCCCGTGCATTTAGAATGTACAGATAGCGTACAACTGTCGCATTTGACAGGAATATCCAGTTCTGCGAATTGAATATTACAGATATTACAAAAAACTTCAGTCATGATGAAAATAATTAGAAACAAAATAAATAATGCAAAGAGTGAAACASATAAATTAGAAAAAGATAACGCACAGAGTAAAGTACAGCACAACCATACAGCTCAACAGTCTGATGATAACTGACAATTATGTATATATTGTAAATCATACAAATTTAAGAATGAGGCACCAGGTATGTGTTATGCTGTGCTAGCGGAAAAGTAAAATTGCCAGAATTATGCCAGGCGACRCATGGATATCGAAACATTTCTTAGCGAACATCTGCAAATGCAATTAATGTTTCCAAATGACATCATTGGGGGGTCACGAATATTGTGCGCGATAATTCCATGCCAACATTCAAAGTGCAAGGTCAAATCTATCAATAATAATAATACATATTATATTATCTATATGTATAAAAATATACTGCTAGGATTATCACAGGAAAAGAATTTGACATACATTTTGTGACATATAAGAGGTAGGATTTTCAACGGGCTACGAAGTGTACTCGTTCAGCTAGTCTATTATATAAATCTATAATTTAATAGATAATATGAACTATCTACATATATAAAATCATCATTTTTTACTATATATAGAAACTTGCAACTTGCTGTAAATTATTTACAAACGTTTATTAGACGATGATAATTCTATGCTTAATCAAATATTTCTCTTTGCAGGAAATTCGTCTAATTTCATAAAATTAGTTTTTTGTTGAAGTCAATCAATCATAGAATATATTATATTAAACATACAATTATGAAATCACATTTATTATACAAACATGTGGTATAATATTGGAGTGTATTGCTGTTTTAAATTTTAAGAATATATGTTTTCAAAAATTTCCACACTTCTTTTAATTAAATACCATCCAATATTGATAAAAAGTCCCCTACTCTAAAAAATTATTACTATTGTTAATTAGGTTTGTTTTGAAGTGATATATATGAATTTACTTACACTGTACACGCGGACATAAATGTATCGACTGCTTTTAAATAGGAGACTGGAGGAAGCGCAGCTTGAGATTTAGCGTGCTGTGTTGACAACGTTAATAAAGACGTTACACCCAATGTCACACGGGCTGGAGCAGCTTCAGGTTTAATCCAAAACGAAACCCACTAAAAAAAATTTAATTTTCCTGCTGTTTTATTAAATTTTAAACAATAACAACATTTATCTACAATCATAATATATGGGTAGTTTAGTAGTTATTAGTCATTAGCTCATCATAAAAGGTATATCAAGGTGGTAAGTCAATGGTGTAGTGAGCATATTTCAAACCCTAAGCAAGRTATTTAAATAATAACCCACCCACTACTACATTATATATACAGCAAAACCTCGATAAGACGGAATCGCATGGGACCATGAAATGTTTCCGTGTTAACGGGGTTTCCGTCTTGACGGAGTTAGGAAAATTAAATTAAATTAAATTAAAGATTTCATATTTATTGAACAAGCGAATGTTGCATMATGTACGATAGTATGACTTCATGGTGTAAATAACTCCTTGGTCCATTGGTTGAGAAACCGAAGTGTTGTTCTTCATTGAAATATTGCAGGTTWGGTTAAAAATACCAGTTTCGTAGGCATTATAAATGTCTTTAGCTTCATAACATTTAATGAGAACTGAAGGTTTGCGTTTCCAATTTTCAACTGTATCTTAATTTACATAATTTACTTCCCCTATGATTTGTTTGCAGACGATATTGTGCCGTCGTTTGAACCGGTCAAGTCAACCATTTGAAGCTTGAAAATCACTGATGCCGAGTTTTTCTGCCAATTTAGTGGCCTCTGCTTGTAGAATAGGTCCGGAGATGGACAARCTTTACGACCGAGAATTGATGAACCACTTGAAAAAATCTCGTTCAACTTGTTCAAATCTCACCGACACCACTCCTTTACTTTTACCAGAATTCTTACAACTCACCTACTGCTCCATTAGTTTGTTTTTATTTTTAAATGCCTCATATACTTGCGWTTTTCCACACTTAAATTTCACCATGAGTTCCTTCACTAAAAGATTCTCATGTTGCTTGACTCGATTAGTTTTACTTTATTCGATAGCGTAAGAGTTGTTTTTTTCGACATGTTAAAGTATGATTGACGGAAAACGCAACAACACGAACGTAACGATATACGATTTGATACTGAACCAAGTGACTCGGATAATAATGTTGTATACTGTATAGATATAAATTTTATTTGTTTTTAATGTCATCGTACGCGCTCGTWTAWCGATTATCTATGGGTATCAACAATACGAAAGTTTTGTTATATTTCCGTCTTAGTGTGGGTTTTCATCAAATTTCATTACAAAAACGTGTCCTTTTCCAGCTTGGCGAGGTTTTCGTCTTAGCGGGATAAACTTACATGTAATTTGAAACGGGACCAAAACAATGTTACGTAATATCGGGGTTTCGTCTTACCGAAGGTCTGTCTTAAAGCGGTTTTACAGTATATATAAAATTTGTTTGCTAATTTAGAACTTTTGGTATACGGCGTCATCAATAATTTAGTAAATAAAAAAAATACAATAATAATTAATTAGGTGCACTTTCATCCATACAAATTTTAATTTTTAAATTCAAATATAAATACATAAAATTGAAATAAAATAATATATAATTAAGACAACGACAAGTAATTTAATTTATAAAATGTATTTGATTTAAATAATAGAGCTCTTTCCATCAGTTCAGAAGATTTTCCCATTCTGTCTAATACTTCATCTAAATTAAGAGGAATGTTCTTTTCACAGGATAAAAGTATGAAAGATTTCAATCTTTTTTTTTTGCTTATAGTTGTCCATAGTCTATTTTTAATTATCTTAACCTGAGTAAATAAATAAAAAAATAAATATTGTTTAAAAATATTAATTCTATGTCTTAAATATATAATTAGTAGGTAAGTATAATATA